TATTAGCTGTGATGATAATAATGATGTTATTCCGAATGGTACACCATAAAAAATGAGGATGGTCATCCTGGTGCTCATGATGATGATGATGCTGCTGATGATGTTGATGATGATGATGATGACGATGATGATGATGATGATGTTGTTGTTGATGATGATGATGATGATGATGATGATGATGAGAAGGAAGAGGAGGAGGAGGAGGAGGAGGAGGAGGAGGAGGAGGAGGAGGAGGGAGGAAAGAGAGGAGAAGAGGGAGGAGGACGGAGAAGATGATGAGGTGGAAGGGGAGAAGAAGGTGGAGGGAGGAGGAGGAAAGACAGGAGGAGAAGGAGGAGGAGGAGGAGGAGGAGGAAGGGAGGAGGAGGAGGAGCAGGAACGGAGGACGAGGAGGAGGAGGAGGAGGAGGAGAGGGAGTAGGAGAGGGAGGAGGAGGAAGGGAGGAGGAGGAAGGAGGAATGAGGAAGGAAGAGGAGGAGGATGAGGAAGAGGTGGAGGAGGATTAAGAGGAGGAGGAAGCAGGACCTCACTGAGGGGACGCAAAGTCTCCTGAGCCCTGGGTGAGGGAGAGACTGGCGAGGGCAGCGCTCTTGTCCTTACGAGCCCAGTACCTGGCTCGCGCCATGCCCACTGGACACGCGAGAGGACACAAGATCAATCCGAGGTCCACATTGCCGTAGGGATGTAGGAGGCATGGGTCGAGAGACAGAGGACACAAGGGTACCCTTGATGTGGCAGGATCGACCTACTAATCAGAGCCGACTGTAGCACATCTATGTAAAGCACAGCCGAAGCACGAGCAGCGAGCGGAAGCGGCAGCAGCCGGTGGAAAAACTGGGGGGGAGGGCGGGGAGGAAGGACGGAGGCGAGCAGAGGCCTGACACGAACGCATGTGATATAAGGAGCACCCTGGGCCGCAACGGGCACGGTTTAGCCCGCTCGTGGAAACGGCGGCCAAGGGTCCAGCCGTTGCTGACTGCACGGGGGAGGGAGGCGAGGACGGAACAGGGGAATATGTGGGCCAGGGACCAGAATACCACTTGACGAGGGGGAGAAGGAGGAGGAGGAGGAGGAGGACCAGTGCAAACCCAAGAGTCATCAACGATGTTGGAATAACTCCCCCCCTCCAAGCTCCCTCTCCATAGGCCTCTACAAGGATTCATTTCCACTGAGGGAACTGCCTCATTGGAAGACAACAGTTTGAAGACCCTGAGGCATGCCAAAACATTACTCTCGGGACTCCAACGCCACGGATCAACATGACTGTTGCGTCTTGACGATCCTAAATCGTCCCAGAACGCCATTCCTTGGACGTCAACACCGCGAATCAATGTAACTGCTTCACCCTCCTAATCCTGAATCTCTCCCAAACCCAATGTCTGGTACGTTGACCACGGGAATCCGCAAAACTATTGCAATGTTTAACAAGGAATGCGCGCGGCGCTACGTTCAGCGCCACGTTTTGAAAAGGAACCGCAATCAATCCGTGAAACTCCTGCAAATGTATAAAACGAAGGTGCGCGGCGCTAAGGCGAGATCCACAATTGAAAACGACCCGCCCTCCATCTGTGAACCTGTTGCTGATGTTTAAGTGTCAGGGTCATACATGGCGAGCGAAACGCCCGGACCGCCCTTTCGACCGCCCTCGGGGTGCGACAGGGAGAGATTATTCTTTATGAGGACAAGGAATGGAGGAGGAGGACGAGGAGAAGGACGAGGAGGATCGAGCGAGGACGAGGAGGACGAGGAGGATAGAGCCAGGCCTCCCTCCCTCCACCGCGCCCCACCGCGCGGTGGCGGGCCCTCGCGGCAGCGAGGCGTGGCAGGCGCCCAGAGGAGGAGGAGGAGGAGGAGGAAGAGGATGAGGATGAGGATGAGGATGAGGATTGAGGATGAGGAGGAGGAGGAGGAGGAGGAGGAGGAGGAGGAGGAGGAGGAGGAGGAGGGAGGAGGAGGGGGGGGGAGGAGGAGGAGGAGGAGGATGAGGAGGAGGAGGAGGAGGAGGAGGAGGAGGAGGAGGAGGAGGAGGAGGAGGAGGAGGAGGAGGGAGGAGGGAGGGGAGGAGGAGGGAGGAGGAGGAGGAGGAGGAGGAGGAGGAGGAGGAGGAGGCGAGGAGGAGGAGGAGGAGGAGGAGGAGGGGAGGAGGAGGAGGAGGAGGAGGAGGAGGAGGAGGAGGAGGGGGGGGGAGGAGGAGGAGGGGAGGAGGAGGAGGAGGAGGAGGAGGAGGAGGAGGGAGGAGGGAAGGAGGAGGAGGAGGAGGAGGAGGAGGAGGAGGAGGTGGAGGAGGAGGAGGAGGAGGAGGAGGAGGAGGAAGAGGATCTTTTGCTGCGCTCTCCGCGCGCGCTGCCCGCGCCGGGCGTGCCCGCCGCGGGCGCGCAGGCGCGCGGAGGCGCGCGCAGAGGGGTCACAGCACGCTCTTCTTCATGCTGAAGCCCACGGACTTGCGCTGCCCCCCGCCGACGTTCAGCATCTTCGCCTTCTCCTCCCTCTTCTTCTTCTCCTGTCTCGCGGGGCCGGTGCGGGGCGGGGCTCCTCCTCCTCCTCCTCCTCCTCCTCCTCCTCCTGCTCCTCCTGCTCCTCCTGCTCCCTGCTCCCTGCTCCCTGCTTTTCCTCCTCCTCCTCCTCTCCTCCTCTTCCCTGCTCCCTTTCCCTCCTCCTCCTCCTCCTCCTCCTCCTCCTCCTCCTCTTCCATCTTCGCCTCCTCCTCACTCTTCTCCTCCTCTCTTTGCAAGGCGTTGGCAGGGGGTTCGGGGGGCAAGGGGGGGCTGCCTACCCCGCGGCCGCCAGCTGATGGCCCCGCCAGTGGCCGTTGAGGGGGGGGGGGGGGGCGGGACGAGGAGGCGAGAAGGAACGAGGAGGCGAGGAGGAGGAGGAGGAGGAGGAGGAGGAGGAGGTGGAGGAGGAGGAGGAGGAGGCGAGGACGAGGAGGCGAGGAGGCGAGGAGGAACGAAAGGAGGCGAGGAGGCGAGGAGGACGATGAGGGGGGGGGGGAGGGCGGGACGAGGAGGCGAGAGGGAGAACGGACGGGCGGCGGGAGGGCACAGGGGGAGGGATGAGAGGGGGGGGGGGGGGGGAACGGCATAAACATAAACTTCTGGAGGTCCGCGCGGATTTCTTGGATTTGCGCTGGACCCCCCTCGCCAGCGCGCGGAGCGCGCCAGGGGCGGCGTCGGAGGCGCCGCCAGAGGGGGCCCAGCGCCGATCCAAGAGATCCGCGCGGATCGCCGAACGTTTCTGTTTGTGCCGTTTTTCTTCTTCGAAGGGGGGGGGAGCGGGACGAGGAGGCGCGGAGGAGCGAATGGAGAACGGACGGGCGGCGGGAGGGCAGAGGGAGGAGCGGGCCGAGAGCAGGCGAGCTGCCTCGGAATGGTGCATGGGGCGCGCAGTGCGGGTCCAGCGCAAGGCAGGGCTTGCTCACATCTCTCGAGAGGAGCGAGACGGAAGTTGGCGCCATCGGCCAAGAGAGGACCCCCGGGGATCGTGGATGGAGGCACGCTGCCGTAGGGCCTCCTCTCGACCCTGCGGCTTACGGGGTAAGAGGGAGGAGGTTGACAAGGGTGCGTGGGTTAGAAGGGGAGAGGAGAAGGATGAGGAGAAGAGGGAGGGCACGAAGGGAGGATGAAGAGGATGACAGCGAGGAGGAGCAGGAGGAGGCGGAAGAGGAGGAGGAGGAATGGGAGGAGGAGGGGGAGGAGGAAGAGGAGGAGGAGGAGGAGGAGGGCAGTAAGGCGGAAGAGGACAGCGTCGATGAGCACGAGGGTGATGACAAGGAGCGGGAGGCGGAAGAGGGGAATCAGGAGAAGGGGGAAACGCGGAAGCCTCCTCCCCCCCCGCCTCCGCCATCCATCCCTCCCCTCTTCCGCCCGCTCCCGCTCCCGCTCTCTCTCTCTCTCTCTCTCTCTCTCTCTCCCTCTGGCGGCGCGCACAATGGAAGAGGGCGGGGTGGGCGGAAGGCTTCTTAGAAAGAAGCTGCTTTGTATAAGGCGCCAATCTTAATATATATATATATATATATATATATATATATATAGACAAGGCCCGCACCTGCTAAGAAGACGAAGATACAGACACGGACGCGGCCTGCGTCTTGCACCGCGCGGGTGCCGCAGGGTGGGGCCGAAGTGCCTGGAAAATGATTGGCGTGTGAAACTAACATGAGAAAACGGCACCTTTACATGTCATGCTCTGCGTATGCGTTTTCTAAATCAGACCATGTATCTGCCACTGCAAGACCGACAAAACATGCAAGGCGCCATTCGGATTCGATGCCCGTTGCAAGCTCGCCTTCGCCGATTCATTCCACTTTTCGGCTGGCAGCTTTGCAAAACTGATCGTGTCACCCAACCATCTTCTTCTTGGTCTACAGAGGCGTCTCCGGGCTCTCAAATCTGGATACCCAAAAGAATCCCACCATAATACTCGCACTGCCTTATCGGTCGGCTAGGCCACATCAACTTTTCCGGAACCACCTCCATGTGCAACGTCTCTGCAGCCGTGCCCAATCTTTCACCTGTAAAGTATGCATATGCGTTTTGGCTTCCCGCGTGCAGCGTTTCATCGAATCCACCCAGGATTCAAGACCCGAGTCGCTGTCGTCGTTGATTGCTGTGGGGTCGTGAGCAGGAGAGGGATCGTTTGCGACATCGCTACCGCTGTCTGGCCACCCAAAAGAAGTGTTCATCGGGGCTCTCGCAACGCAACGTTGCGATGATGACGTCGTCGCTGTTGCAATCCATCTATGGGGTATATGTATTATCATGCGTATCATCTGTCTCTGCGTCCGCTTGACCCGGTTCTCCACTTCTGTGGTATTTGCCCAAGCCTCAGAGCCGTAGAGTATCGTACACGTCACAACTCCATTGGGAAACCGAATTCCGTCTTTCAGAAAAAATCTCCACCCTGAAAATTCCTGTTTCATTGTGGGGAATTGTCTCCACGCTGCAGCGATGCGATTCTCTATCTCTGTGCAGTTCGGATCATGGAAACAGAACTTTCTGCCCAAATACTTCGTGTGCTTGTCCGCTGTCCATATTTCGATGTCCATCCCATTGATATGAGCGTGTGCTGAGACGCGCGCTCCCCAGTGCAAGCAATGGTCGTTGCGAGAATTTCTCCTGGGGTGTTACGCCAATTCCACGTAGCTGGCTTCCTCACACAGCTCCCCTACCATGCGAAATACTTGCTGCAGAATCGGCGCCATAAACAAAATGTCATCCGCGAAACGTAGATTCGTCAGCCTCTGCTTGTGCGGATGTAAAAGTATTACAATTCTGGCACAACTCCATCTTCATTTCAAGCACCCGATAACATACTCCTACATACTGTTAAACAACAGTGGGCTGAGCGGGTCGCCTTGTTTGGTGCCTCGCTGAGTCGTGAACGTGGCGTCTGTGCGATCGGTGCGTGCGCGAGCTGGCTGCCCGCTGTACATGCTCCGACGTAATTATATGCATCCTTGATCAACACCCTCCTTTTGTCTTGCATCCCCAATTCCTCGATGAGTGACGCTGTCGAACGCTTTCTTGAAATTTAATGCCACCGCTCACACTTGAAATTGCCACTCAGCAGCGGTCTTTTGAAAAATAGCGATGGCCAATCTATGATCTGTCATGGACCAGTTCGGCCGGAAGCCTGCTTGATCTGGGTGGGCTTTATCGCTGATCAAGTAAACGCGAAAACAATGTGTACAGCATTGGTGCGTTGGGACTAGGACGCTACATTTGCGGCAAATTCGCATTACCACTCTTTCGCAATATCTTCACATCCGTATGCTTCCATGAATATGGTAGCAGCACAGTCCTGCTGATACTGTGTCTGCACTTCATAAAACCAAACATGATGGACCCACGAACCCGGAAAGGGATAAAGACATGTGCAGCATGGTCACGTTTTCACGATACCCAACTGGGCAACACCTCACGAAACATCCCACGAGACACCCCGCGAAACATCCCACGAGACACCTCACGAAACATTCCACGAGACACCTCACGAAACATTCCACGAGACACCCCGTGAAACATTCCACGAGACACCCCACGAACAGGCAACCACTCAACCAGACACGCCACGAAACATTCCACGGGGGTGCGACTGGGTGTGGTCGTGCTGGGGTGTGGTCGTGCGTGGTCGTGCTGGGGTGTGGTCGTGCTGGGGTGTGGTCGTGCTGGGGGGTGGTCGTGCTGGGGGGTGGTCGTGCTGGGGGGGTGGTCGTGCTGGGGGGTGGTCGTGCTGGGGCGTGGTCGTGCTGGGGCGTGGTCGTGCTGGGGCGTGGTCGTGCTGGGGTGTGGTCGTGCTGTGGTGAGGTCGTGCTGGGGTGTGGTCGTGCTGGGGTGTGGTCTTGCTGGGGTAGGGTCGTGCTGGGGTCGGGTCGTGCTGGGGTGTGGTCGTGCTGGGGTATGGTCGTGCTGGGGTGGGGTCGTGCTGGGGTGGGGTCGTGCTGGGGTCTGGTCGTGCTGGGGTGTGGTCGTGCTGGGGTATGGTCGTGCTAGGGTGGGGTCGTGCATTTCGCTCGAGACATCCTGCCAAAATTCCAGGAAATCGTACAAAAACAAAGGAATTAGTCGAGACATCATCGAAATTCCTTCGCGCGGGGCGCTTTTCCGCGTCGCGGTCGGCTCTGCAAAACAAGCGTTTCGCTCGAGACATCCTCGGCAAACTCTGCGGAGCAAGCGTTTCGCTCGAGACATCCTCAACACACGAAAAAGTGGCCCGCACCCTTTGATTTATCGATCGGGATTTCAAAAACAAGCGTTTCGCTCGAGACATCCTCAAAAATAATTTCGCCGGCCTCCTTCGACCTCGATATTTATCAAGGAAAAATTTCGCCGGCCTCCTTCAAGTTGGGCACGGGGGACTATGTTTACATACTAAAAGAGAACCCTGGGCCTGAGCCCTTTCCGGGAAAAATATTGTGCAACTCATCACCTCCATGCTTCAACACTTCAGCCGCTATCCTTCGTGTCCGTGGCTTTCCCAACTTTTATCTGTCGCAATGCCGTTGCCAACTCTTCCATGGCAAATGGTGCGATTGTGCTGGGTGCAGCAAGGGACGTTGTAGCCGGATCGTTACTCCCAGTATCTTGGTGTTTGTCTTGATACAACTCCTTGTAGAAGTCCGCAAACACATCCGCAACTCCCTGTCTACCGTATTGTGCGTTACCTGCAGCGCCCTCCATATAAGAAGAACACCACCCCTGTGTGATCTGATGCCGGCGAATTTGTTGAGATTACAATAGCCAACCAATGTATGGTTGATCTCTGCACGGCGTTTGGCGTGCTCTTTCGTCCAAATCATGTGCAACATTTGTTTGTTAAGGCGCCGCCTCTCTGTCGTGTCTTCGGGCGCTGTGTTCCGTCGTAACGCGAGTAGTGCCGCAACCTCCTCATGAGTGGCCGTGTCCACATGTGTTGTGATGCTCACCTAGTCGAAAACCACCTCATCCACGCGCGTGCTGTCAAGACGCTCGGTCGTAGAAAGATCCACCAAGAAGTTCCCCA